ATTGACATCTCCAGCCACATTATGGATTTGACTTTATTTTCAGTTCTGTCTATTTTTTTTGTTAATTACTATTTTTTTATCCAAGAGTTTAAATTGGATAGAGTCCATGATTTCTAATTCCCTTTTATAGTCCTCTCAGAAGACTCTCCCAGGACCAAAGTTAAAAATATATTTATCCTGTGAAGCTGATAAATGTCTGTAGAGGTTACTTAGTAGGTAGGAAAAAAAAAAAAGGTTAGAGCATTGAGGTGGAACAATCAGTTCTGTCCATTTTTCCTTTGCATGTTTCGAACCTAATTATTAAGGCCATACATGTTTGGGATTATTATGTCCTCTTGATGAATTGGCCCCTGTGACATTGGGTCAATTATTTGCCCTTCTGATTTTAGTGCCCTTCTTTATCCTGGTAATGTTTCTTGTTTTGAATTGTACATATTTTTTTCTGATAGAAACAGAAATAGTCCGGCTTTCATATGATTAGTGTTTGGATGATATATCTTTTTCCATATTTTACTCATTTTTGCCGATATAAAGTTTTTTCCCCACCGCTTGTAGTATTTTCTGCACAGCTTCATTGAACGTAGTTTGCATACAATTAAATTCACTCATAGTGAGATTACAGTTTGATAAGTTTTGGCAATTGTTTATGGTTGTATAACTATATCACGATCACAATATAGAACACTTTCATCAGCCCAAAATTTTTTCTTCCTTTGCAGTCTCCCTTCCCTCCCCACTGCTTGCAGACTATTAGTGACATGGGTTCTGTCAAAATTGTTTTCCTTTTCCTAGACTTTCAAAGATCAGCGTCACACAGTATGTAGTATTTGGGTTTGACTTCTTTCACTTAGTATAATGCTTTTAAGATGCATCCAAGTTATCGTGTATATCAGTAATTCATCTCTTTTTTTATTGCTGAGTATTATTCCATTGGATGGATATACCATTCATCTGTTGATGGATACTTGAATTGTTTCCACTTTTGGGCTATTATGAATAAAGATACTATAATAATTTGCATACGAGTTTGTGTTCTAATTGACTTAGCAATTAGAAATGAAAACCTATTTCCCAGTCAGAATTGCTAGGTCATATGGTAGATGTATCTTTAAATTAGGTACAATTTTCCAAATCATTTTCCAAAGTGGTTGTGTCTTTTGTGTTTCCTCCAGCAGTGGAAGGAAGTTCTAATTGAGCTGTCACTTCATCAGTACTTGCTGTTAATAGACTTTTTAGTTTAATCTTTCTAATAGATACACTTTGGCATCCCATGGGGGAGCATCATTTCCTTAATGACATTATTTTGAGCACCATTTCATGTGCTTATTGGTCATTGATAACCTTCTTTAGTGAAGTATCTACTCTTCAAACCTATTACCCACTTTTAAAATTGGTTTGCATTTTTTATTATTTCTTATTATTTGTCAGATATATGTATTATAAATTTTTTCCCAGTTGGTGCCTGCCTTATCACTTAACATTTTTGAAGAGAAATTTTAAAAATTTTTGAAAAAGTCTTATTCCTTTCAAAAATTGTTTGTGCTTTTTGTGTCCTATCAAAAAAGATCTGTGTGTAAGCAAAGTCATAAAGATGTTCTCCTATGTTTTCTTCTAGAAGTTTTATACTTTTAGCTCTTACATTTAAGTCTATGATCTATTATGAGTTAAATTTGTATATGATACACACTAAGAGTCAGGGACAACTATCGAATATTTTTCCATTTCTTTATTCAGTTGTTTCTGTTGAAAAGACCATTTCTGTCCTCAGTTGAGTTATTTGGAACGTTTGTAGCAAATCAATTGACTATATAAGTGTGGAAATACTTTTTTAAAAAAGATTTATTTATTTTTATTTTTAGAGAGGGGAAGGGAGGGAGAAAGAGAGGGAAATATTGAGGTGCCAGAGATACAGCGATCAGTTGCCTCTTGCATCCCCCAACTGGGGACCTGACCCACAACCCTGGCATGTGCCCTGACCAGGAATCAAATTGGCAACCTTTTGGTTTGTGGGTCAACGCTCAACCCACTGAGCCACACCAGTCCGGGCCAAAGCCAACTGTCACTTTTAATAATTAAGAAATAATTATATTTTCCACATGTTAAATATTTCTTGTGCTCTTCTTTCTTTTGCATAGATCCAAATGTCTGGTATCATTTTCTTCACTTCCCAAAGAATATCTTTTAACATTCCTCTTAATGTAGTTGTTGTTTTTCTTTCAAACAAGTTGCTTTAATTCCAGGCGGTACAGAATTCTGGATGGAGCAAAGATTGAAGAACACACTTGGACAGAATTCTGGGCTGGGTTTACTCTGACCTCACAGCTAAGGTTGAAATGGAAAAATGAGAAGAACTAAAGGATGACCCACTGCATGACTACTTTTTTTCTTTTTTTTTTTTTACAAAAGTTTATTCTTAAATGTAGAACAGGCTCCGAGAGAACACTTCGTTCTAGCTATAGGTGGCAAGAGATGTTATGACAGAGAATCCAGATGTTAAAACAGGAATGCAATTAAGGATCACCATTGACCCAGGCACAAGGAACAACTCACATTTTGCAAGATTTCTTAATTCCACCTGTGGCTAGGGGCCCTTCTCTGTAGCCTTCGCTTTTAGCTCCTCAAATGTCTTCTGCTCCTCTTTTTGCTTCTGCTTGAATGCCTTGTCCATCTCCTTGGCCTGCTTCTTGTGCTGCTTCAGGGGCTCTTTGCCACCTTCATGACCTGTTGCCCCTTCCCCAGGTTCTCTTTATGTAGTTCTATTGGCCATAAATTTACTCAGCTTTTTTTTTTGTCTGAAAATATGTATTGCCTTCACTTTTGAAAGATATTGTTGCTGGGTATAGAATCCTAAGGGTTTTTTTTCCTTTCTTTATTTTGGTACTTTAAAAATATTATTCCACTGTATTCTGGTGTGAATTGTTTCTGATAAAAAAAAATCTTACTCTTAAAACTTAATTCTACCATTATTAGTTCAATTAGCCTGTAATTGAACTTCGCACAAATAGAATCATATACACACTCTTTTGTGCCTGGCTCATGTTCAATATGGTGTGGTGTAATTTATCTATTTTGTTCTGTGAGTTATTTGCTCTTTTTAGTTGCTGTATAGTATCCCATTGTGTGAATATATCACAAGTTATCCAATTCTGTTGTTGGACATTTGGGTTATTATGGATTTTTGCCTAATACAGCTATTGTAAACATTCTTGTCTAAGTCTTCGGTGGATATATCACTGCATTCTTTTTTTTTTCCCAAGATAGGGGAAGGAAGGGAGACAGAGAGGGAGAGAAACATCGATGTGAAAGAGAAACATCTATCCGGCTTCCTCTCGCTTGCGCCCTGACTGGGACTGAACTGTAATGTAAGACTGTGCCCTTTGTGGGACAACACCCAACCAACTGAGCCACACCAGTCAAGGCCTATATCACTGCATACTTGTTGCATCCAGTAGTGGAATTGCTGGCTCACAGGGTTATGCATATGTTAGCTTTATTTTTATTTATTAATTTTTAGAGAGAGGAAGGGAGAGAGAGAAAAAAAATCATCGGTTTATTGTTCCACTTACGCATTCATTGGTTGATTCTTGTAAGTGCCCTGACCTTGATAGAACCCACAGCCTTGGCATATGAGGACAGTGTTCTAACCAACTGAGCTACCCCTCCAGGCCTGCATACATTAGCTTTTTTTTTTTTTAATTTTTTATCCTCACCCAAGGACATGCTTATTGGTTTAAGAGAGAGGGGAAGGGAAGGAGACAGAGAGAGAAACATCAATTGGTTGCTTCTAGTATGCACCCCGACCAGTGACTGAACCTACAACCTAGGTATGTGCCCTGCGATATTCAGTTTACAGGGTGATGCTCAACCCAACTGAGCCACACTGGGCCTGGGCCATACATTAGCTTTAAATGATACAGCCAGACAGGTGTCCAATGTAGCTGTGTAGTTTTGCATTCCTACCAGAAGTGTAAAAGAGGAGAGCTCCAGTTGCCCCACATCTTTTCAACACTTGATGTCATCAGTCTTTCTAGTTTTAGCCATTCTCACTGGGGTACAGAGGTATCTCATTATAGTTTAAATTTGTGTTTCCCTGATTATTAATGAGATGGAGCATCTTTTACATTCACCCATTGGCTTATTTGGATGTCTTCTTTTGTGAAATGCATGCTCTTGTTTTGCCATGTTTTAATAGGGTTGTCTTTTTCTCATGATTTCTAAGAATTTTTGTATTGTTCTGCTTGAGTTCTGTTTGTTGAACCACGTTGTGGCTACAAGTCCATTGTCAGATATATCTATTGCAAATGTCTTATCTCAGTCTGTGGCTTGCATTTTTACTTTCTGAATGGTTTATCCGGAGGGCTGGCACTGAGTGTACCTCATTAACTGTTGTGTGTCCAGCGCTCGTTCCCATTCCTGGCACATAGAAGGCCCTCAATAAATGTTGAATGAGTGACTGCTTTAGCGGGGATCCTAGTTCTGAGCCATGGTTATGGCCTGTCCTACCCATCTCACAAGATTTAGTGAGATGGGCAGGAGACACAGGATCCGTTCACCGCAGCGACTGGTTTGCAGATTCTCAGGTAGCGCCAGCTTTTAGAATCAAAAAAGGCGGAGCTGGATTCTTCTCTAGGAACTAGCCAGAGAAGCTCCACGTGGGCGCCCCGCCCACAGCTGTCACTTATCCGAGGGACTGGGAGGTCTCAATTAGGGGGCGTGGTTACAAGCCGAAGGAGGAAGTAGGTGGAGTTCCAGAGGACACTAACCAATGAGGGGAAAGATCCCTGATCCGGGGCAGGCGGGGCCTGTGGGCTCAGAGGGCGTTGTCCTCGTTTCCCTAGGGCGGCATGGTGTCGTCAGGGAAACGTGGTTATCCCTGAGGTGGGACAGGGCTTCGTGGGAGGCGGGACTTCCGGGGGTGGACCCTCGCCCGCGGAGTCCCGCGGTCAGCTGACCGCCCGCCATCTCGTCCGCCATTTGCAAGTGCCGCGGAGCGTGAGGGGAGGGGAGTGCAGCGCGGCCTGCCCAGCGCATTCCGCCGCCGCGGCCGCCGCTGCCGCCCCACGGACCGTCGCCAGCCTGTCCTGGGAGCCCGCCCCGCAGCGGCGGCCGGCAGCGCAGCGCTCCGCGGGCAAAAAGCGCGGCCCCCGGACCCCCGCAAGGCACCCGGCCTCCGGCCTCTCGGGGCTGCTGCCTGCCGGCGGCCGCCGTGATGGCCCTCAAAATGGTCAAGGGCAGCATTGACCGCATGTTCGACAAGAACCTGCAGGACCTGGTGCGCGGCATCCGCAACCACAAGGAGGATGAGGTGAGCCGGGCGCACCGCGAGGGGCAGGCCTGGCCCTGCCCGAGACCCCGACTTGCGGCTCGCCCATGAGGCTCCGCTCCTGTCTCGATCCTTGCCTTCCCGCGCCTGAGCGCCACACACCCGCTTCCACTTTGAGCCTCAGTTTACCCCCGAGGGCCAAAGGCAGCTCCAGACGGGACCCCGCAGGCCCCCCAAGTCGCGGTTCTCGGACACCCCTCCCCCACCCGACCGGGTATCCACTCGCCTGTGGGGGTACCTGCCACTGGATGGCCTCTGTCTCGGAGCCTCAGTTTACCCTTTCGGCGACGGGACCCTCTTCCCCCTTGCCGCGGTGACCCCGGAAGAGACTTTGCAGGTCGCCCCGAGTTGGGGGTTCTCCAACCTTGAATGTGTGCCTGGATCACCTGTTTAAAATACAAGGCCTCTGGCCCCGCCCCTGGTCTCTGGACTCCGGGGATACCGTCCTGGCCGCGAGTCACTGACGAAGGAACCTTTTCTGGGATTAGTGCGTGTCCAGTCGCTTTCTGGCCTGGCCCGGAACCGGTTCTTCCCGGGAAGATAGGTCCTCCCCTCTTAGGAGGGGCGAAGGCAGCAGGCATCCCAGGCCAGAATAAGGAAGCTGCTGAGAGGTCCTGGGATGGGCGAAGCCTTCTTCAGCTAGAAAACCAAAAACCAGGAGAAAAGAAAGATCTCCTGAAGTAAAATTGTAACTGTGGGCACCATTGCCTTTCTTTTTTCCCTCCCCACCCCCAACCTGTGACCTAAATTTAAGAGGAATGAGGACAGTTAGTGGCCACCGGCCTCTGGCTTCGTGGAAGAGGCCCAAGCCAGGCCCTTACATGATGAAAGCAGGGACTTTCTTACATTAAAGAAAGTCCCTGCTTCTCTGCCTAGAGAGAAACTGCCCTGAGTAGAGCAGCTGTTTGATACTTTGCAGGTCCCAGTATCAGGTGCTAACCAGCCTTCCTCAGAGTGGTGCCCAGGGAAGTCAGGAATTACAGATTAGAAGGTGCAAGGAAGTTGAATTTGCTGGGAGGCTGTGTTTCTGCCTCTGTAGCACTTTTTCAGAATAGGTGTGATCTCACTGAAATGTGATGAGGTTATTTTCTCTCGTTTCCATAACCCTTCCCTGGGATTTGCATCATTTTGGAAGCTCTCCCTGATGGCAATGATTACAAGTGTGTAGCAAACTCTTACCCTGATCTTTCATTTGGAGTTGAAAGAGTAGTTGATTGTCCTTTATAACTGAGCAGCGGTTAGGCAAATTTGGTTTGCTCCCTTAGATTTCCCTTTTTTTTTTTTTTTTTTTTTAAACTGGTTCCACCTCTATTCACTGAATGTCACTGAGCAGCCTATTTGGGATTCTAAGGACAGGGCATAGTGTCTTTCTGGAAGAGAAACACACACTCCAGTTAGGGCATCTGTATGTTTTAGGAGGGTGTGTCCGTCATCACTGGGCAGTACCCTGACCCTTGGTTCCTTCATTTGGAATTGGTGGGAATTGATGGTGCCTTCCCTGCATGCTTCGGAACACATTAAACAGAGGTGTTGATGGTAGAAGCATTTTTTAAATAGCACAGGTCCAGGCTGGTGCTGAAAGTCACAGGTTTGAGTATGCTCTGCCCTTGGCCCTCGGCCTGTTGATGACTGCTGACAGGACATGGCATCCCCGTGCTGTGGTTTTATAATCAGAAGGTCATCATGGTGCCAGAAGTGTAACTTCTGACTCCAGCCATTTATCTTTTTCCCTGTAGGAGCTCAGCCATGACTCCTGGTTCCCCCACTCTCTCAAATAGGCTCTTCCCTCCCACCCCACCACACACCAACTGAGACTTCTGAAAATGTGCTTTTTCTGCAGCAGTATAGTTCCCCCCCAAAGTTTACTTTTTAAAATAGATTTTAACTTAAAATTTCTGTGCAGTATCATGGAAAGGAGGCTTATCAGGAACTTTAAAAGCTGTGTGTAAAGGCAGGGTGACTTATTGGAGCTTGTATGAAGTTTAGGAGATTGGAGTCCAAGTTCTTGGGCTTGTTTAAGTGGGTAACCTGGGGAGAGCTCCTGATTTGTTTCTCATTTGTTGAATGGGGGCTACCACCACCTTCCCTTCTTGCAGGTGCTTATGAGGATATGCAGTGAGTAACATAACGCAAGCTTCCGTGAGTGCTAGAGCACCCCATGAAGTTGTCTCCCTCACTGTTTCCAGTCGGTTCAACGTTTCCTTTGACCCCTTAGTGGGCTGTGAATTCAATTTAATGGGTTATGTTAAAAAAAAAAAAAAGAAAGAAACTAGAAAACTCCAGACTGCATGCACATAGAATAACTCATTTCTTGAAACTTTTATTTCCATTCATGATACTAAGTGTGTACATGCGTCTGTGTATTGGGTTACCATGGAAAACATTTCTTAAAATGAGTCCCAGAAGTTTGAAAAATAGTGGTCTAATTTACACGTTTCCGGAGTGCTTGAATTCATTATCCTTAAAATACATACAGCAAGGATAATGTTGGCAGGTAGGGGGAAATCCACTTGTGAATATTCTTGTTTCTAATATATATATATATATATATATATATTTTTTTTTTTTTTGAGAGAAAGAGGCAGAAACATTGCTTTGTTGTTTCACTTATTTATGCTTCTTTGGTTGCTTCTTGTATGTGCCCTCACTGGGGATCAAACCTGTAACCTGGGTGTATTGGGACAATGCTCCAGCCAACTGAGCTACCTGCCTGTTCTTGCTTATAAAAGGTTGGATATGACTAGGGAAAAAACTGAATTGGCTTAATATTTTATTCTCATGGGCACTTCTAATGTTTTGGGGAAAACTTTTTAAAATCAGTTTGAGAGAGAGAGAAAGGATAGGGGGGAGAAATATCAATTTGTTGTTTTGCTTACTATGTGTGCCTGAGCTGAGATTGAACCTGCAACCTTGGCATGTCAGACAGTGCTCTCTGACCTAACTGGCCAGGGCTCTCGAAACTTTTTCTATTAATCTTTATAAAACTATACCCATAACTTTCTGTAATAAGCTCAGCATTTATTAAGTAAAGGGACAACACCTCTCCCTGTAAATCAGTTTGGTGTCTGTACTTTGAGATTTTTCTCTGCACAGAAATCATGGGTGATTCTGAGTACAAGTTAAGATTCTGTTGTGACTTGACTGTGAGTGTAGCAGCCTCACTGACAGCTTTCTGTGTCAGCATAGGAAGACTCTCCCGTCGTTTTATATAGCTAGTCTCCCTTGATTGGGCATTTAAGTTGTTCCAGTTTGTTGTTTGGGGCTGCGGTTCACTCTGTTGGGCACAAGCTCTGCATGTACCTTTCATTACCTGGGTAGAATAGGTTCTGGGAAGCATTGTGTTGGCAACTGCTGCTTCATTGCCTGGTGCTGAGTACCTGATGACTGGCCGTTCCCCCTTTGCCTTTGCTTTTGTATGTAATTTAGACCTCTCTCCTGGAAACTATCTGCACTTCCTAAGGCCCGCCTTTGTGCCCTTCGGTAGCCCCAGACCTCAGCTCCTGGGTGTAATTGACCAGGAGGAGCCAAGCTGCTCAATTTTGAAGTCCATCACCTTGTCCTCCAAAGGCCATGCTGCTGCTCCCAGGTGATGACTGCATTTAGGGCAGCCTAGGCAGGTAACTGGCCTTGCTGACCTTTCCTTGGGCACTCCCATCCAGCCTTTCCCCCCGGTCCTTCACTTGGCCAAATCCATACAGCCTTATCCCAGCTCCCTCTTGTTTCCTCTCACAGGAGTTGTCCTTAACAATATCCAGGCACATTAACCCCATCTCGGGGTCAGCTATGACTGGGGGGCCCTGGATTTCTACTCATATTTATTGGCCTGGCTCCTTATCACCAGCCTACAAAGGCCCACACTGACACTGGAGCGTCCCCTGAGAAATGCCTCTCCTTTTGCCCTCTGGAGCTGACGTTGCCTGTTATTCAAGAACCCAAGGTTGGAACTGGCACTCTGGACCAGCTTAGTCCTCTAGGTGGGTTTCCGTGCTCATGGGGATGAGGATGGGCTGCCTCCTTCTGAGGCCCAGGCATCTATGCTGCTGCTGCTCTTCTGACTCTGTGAGGGCCTGGCCTCTCCATCCCCTGGTCTCTCTGCTGTGGTCATGGAGTCTATGGCCTCCTGCTTCCTGGTCTTTGTCTCCCCGCTGGCCCTGCGTGACCTGACTGGTCAGCTAAATAATGGCCCCCAGAGATGTCCCCATCCTAGTCCCAGGACCTGTGGACATGTTGCCTCACATGCCAGAGACTTTGTAGGTGGAATTAAGTCAAGGCTCCTGAGACAAGGGAGGACCCTGGATTCCCTGCAGGGCTCAGGATGATCATAAGGGTCCTTATAAGCAGGAGATAGGAGGGTCAAAGTCAGAGAGAGATATACGAGGCTGCACTGCTGGCTGTGAAGATGGAAGAAGGGGCCATGAGCCAAGTATGTGGCTCCTTTACAGGCTGGAAAATACCAGAAGCAGTTCTCCTGGAGCCTCTGGAAGGCCCAGCCCTGCCCAAACCTGGGTTCAGCTCTGGAAGATGCATGTCAGACTCGTGATCCCAGAACCGTCAGAGAATAAATGTGCCTGATTTTAATGTACTGAATGTGTGATGTCATGTTACAACAGTTTCAGGACACCGACCAGCCCGCATGCCTTTGAGTATCGCCTGCTTCCTCCAGTCACCTCCCTCAACCACTGCTCCCTGGGCCTAAGCCCCTGAAGTGTTGCAGTGCCCCATACCACACCCCCTTGTCCTTCCAAATCACATCAACCTCCAGATGCTCTTTTGTCACCATCTTGCTCACTATGCACCTTGAACAACACCAACCCTGGGTTGGCCCATTGTGCTGGAGAAGTCCATCTTGCCCGTTACGGCGTAAGTCATAAGAGATGTAATTACAGCATAGGGAATAGAGTCAGTAATATCGTAATGATTATGTATGGTGACAGATGGTTGCTATACTTATGATCACTTTGTAAGGTATATTAATGTTGAAT